GTGTTAAATAAGGAAGAATTTCAAAGATCTCTAATAGAGAAGAAAGAGTTATTAATAGGGCTATAATAAATAACCCTAAGGTTAAAAATAAGAGTGTATTAGTTAAAAATAACCTTCCTATACACAAAAGAACATTACAAAGATTTTTTAAAAGAGAAGGATATTCTATTAATATAGCTTCTAAAAAGGCTATATTAGATAAGAATAAAGCTAAAAGGAGGCTTATTTAAGCTAAAGAGCAGGATAAAAATATAAAAAATATAAATCTTAATAAGATTATATTTTCTAATAAGTTAGCAATCCAGCGTAGGCACGGTGCTAGGAAAGAATATTATAGAAAGAAGGGAAATAACAAAGTTAGTAACCAAATGGTTAATACAACTAATACAAGTAAGTTTAAAATTTTTCCTAGTAGGCTAAGTTTTAGAGCTTTTTTTTCTCTTTATTTTCATTTAACTATCCTTTTTATAGCTCTAAAACTGACTTTCTTACAGCCTGGGACATTTCTATCTAAGTTTGGGGAGCAATTTGGATAGGTAGACGCTCTAAATTAGAGGTTATTAAAACGCCTTTTACAACAAAGTCTTATACAAATAAAGACTACCTAAGAAAGGTTTTAATACGCCACGTTAAACTAGCTATTAAAAAAGGTAAGTTAATTATTCTTCTTTTATTAGTATTTTATTATTTTCTACCTCTATTTTAACTCTTTTATTTTTTTTAAAATTCTTAAAAAATTCTTTATAATAACTTCTATTTAGGCTAGAAATTTCAACAAGATAACGCTAAAACCTATAAAACGCCAAATATAATGGCCTAGTTTAAGAGAAACAAAATCTCTCTTTTTAGCTATCTGCCTTATAGTCCAGATTTAGCACCTATTAAAAACGTCTGGAGTCTATTAAAAGATAGACTAGATAACAGAATAGCTACTAGTTTAGGGGTAGGAGCTAGTAAGGCTAGTGTAGAGGCCTTTATAAGGGCTATACACAAAGAGTAGGATTTAATCCCACAACAGAGCATAGATAACTGTATTTTATCTATGCCTAGGCGTTATAAGGCAGTTATAGACGCTAAAGGTTAGTATACTAAGTACTAGTTAGCTATTACTTATTATATTATTCTATTTTAACTACTTTTACTATTTTGTAAAATCTAATTATTTCTAGTAAGTAAACTAATACTAAAAACCTCAGTATTTCTTTTACTAATGTAGAAGTAAGATATATAGAATTTTTAGGTATTTTTCTACCTAGATAAAATAGTTATTTAGGCTTCTATTTATCTCTTTTTTTAGAGGTCTTTTCAGTGACACGCTGTATTTTAGGCTGCTTACTAAGCAGTACATATTAAGCTTTAGTGTTATTAAACAGCTTCTTCGCTTTCTAAAACATTACTTTTTATAAATTTAGGCCTTCTAGAACAGAAGTTATTAACCTTTAAAACTATAGCCTTTTTTTTCTAATCTTTATTTGTGTCACCCCACTGTAGTATATTATAAATAGGCTAAACTTACTTAGGACTCTTATAGCGTAGTTAAAGGGAAGCCTCTTAATAAGGTAGAATCCCTTTTTCTTACTCTTAATAGTACCTATAGAGATATATTACTCTAATCTAATCTTAAACTCCTTAAGGTATTATTAAATATTAAAATCCTTTCTTAACTAGTATTTATAGAGCTATTATTTAAAGAACTTAATCTATTTCTTCTATTAGGTATTATTATTACTTCTAAATTTGCATTAGAGGGCTTCTTTTAGTATATTCTAGTCTTTACCTTTAAGGGCTGTTTAGTATTTCTTAAAGTAATAAATAATATTCTTCTACCTTTACTAGTAGTAGGTAATTACTTATTAGATCTTATTAATTTTTAAGAAGCTATAATATAGAGTAACTTCCTTATATTACTTAATAAAAATAGTAACTTTAGTACTATTAAAACTTAGTATATACTTAGTAGAGAAAGGTACCTAGCTAAGCTTTAATTAGTTCTTAATAAGTATTACTATTATTTAAGCTATATTTACTAGAAATAGGGTAGTTAGGTTTATTAATTTAGTATTAGGCTTTAGAAGTTTTGCCTTACCTTTAAATAGGCTAGGAGTTTTATTATTACTTAAGTTATTTCTAGGTTTCTCTCTCTAGGCTTACGTTAGGAGAGCTAATAATTAACCTATATTAAATAATAAATACTTAGTAGAAGAGTTAGTATTTAAGGTATAACCTATTAGTAAGAGGTTATTAGTTATCTTAAAAATTAGAAAGATATAAATAAGAATTATAAAGATAAGTAATAAGTAAGTAGTAAAAACTATTTTAACTACTATAAAAAGAAGAAGTAAAGATCTCTAAAAGGTCTTTATAGTAAAAAAGATTATAAAAAAAGTTATTATTACTATTATATATCTATTCTTAATTAGTAAGCTTCTTACCTTATTTATTCTTCTCCTTTTTATCTATACCTAGCAGTACTTACTACTTTTAATCTCTTTCTTCTAATTATTCCTTAGCTAATTCTTATTACTAAAAAGTACTTAAGTATAACTATAGGTTATATACTAATTATATAAGTTTTATAGTAGTAAGATAATCTCTAAGAGTTATCTAAGTATAACTAGTATACTAGCTATTACGTTAATAGCTTCTTTAAGAGTAACTCCTTAGTTTTCTAGGTCTAGTATAATCTCTAGTTATAAGGTTACTAAATTTCCTAAAGGTATACTAATACTTTGTTAAGTTCTTAAAGTACTAATTCTTAGGTACTAAATATAATTTAGTATTATACCTATTTTATATTAGTCTCTTAATCCTTAACTTAGACTTACTAAAGTTCTATTATTATTACTAAAAATTAATTACTCTTTAGATAAATATATTATAAGAATAATTTAGTATTATACCTAAATAGCTATAAACAGAAAGCTTCTTTAATCCCTACGTAGGTTACTATATATAGAGAAGAGGTCTTTAACGCCTCTTTAGGTACGTATAGCTTAATACTAAATAAGATAAGTATATTATTAGTTAATACTCTATTAAGCTTCTATTAGAGGCTTAACTACTATATACTAATCCTAGATTATATAACCTATATTACATAATCTTACTCTAATACTCCTTTAGATATACTTTCTATATTACTCTACTATATTAGTTTTATAGTATATCTAGTTAGGAGTGTTTAAGAAAATAGGAAAATAATAATCTAATAATAGGGGTTTTAGGATTAGTAGATAGAGTAGTAATTTACTAATATATATAACGTAATAGAGTACTTAGCCTAATAGCTTACTAAAGCTTAAAGTCTAAAAACTTAGCTATATATAGTATAGCCTAACCTTATTAGTAATAACTATATTGTAAATACAGCCTTTTTAGTGCTTTATAATCTTATATTAAATATTAGTTATAGAAGAGCTAGTATAGATTTAATATTCTAATAGGAAATATTATTAAGAGTATAATTATTACTAATAGAGTTAAGCTATACTATATATAGCTAAGTTTTTAGACTTTAAGCTTTAGTAAGCTATTAGGCTAAGTACTCTATTATATTATATTATGTTATAAAACTTCTAGATTATAACTAAGATATCTTCTTAAACTTATAGATTATATAGATTTTAACTACTTATATTCTTAGGCCTAACTAAGTATATAATAGCTTACGTACGTAAAAATATTAGTTACATCTACTAACTACCTTTTACCTAATAATATAAACCTAAATATACTAATAGATACTTATTTAAAAAGAGTACTAGCAGCTCTAATAATAATCTAAATAAGACTATATACTTTAATAAAAATATAGTAGAGTATAATTCTATTATAGAAATCCCTATACAAGAACTACTAAATAAGGAGTAATAGAATAATATTAATAATTATACAGTTTTAATATAACTATATTTAATAGATATTAATAACTATAAGTCTAATTATATTAGCTTATAGTTAATAATAATATCTTAACTATAGATAAAGTTATTCCTAATAAAATATAATGCGTAAGTAGGTATACTATACCTAACTATAAGGCTAAAGCTATTAAGGATAAAGTACATTAAATTATACCTATAACATAGTTAAAATATAGAATAATATATATAGATATACTATAAATAGTGTATTTAACTCTAAATTCTTATATATATTTATAGTCTAGCTATAGCGTATACATTATTCTAAGGGCGCTGTTTAAGATTTATTTAAAAACGTTAGACTAGAGGAACTTTATAAAAGGCTAAGCTTTAAAAATAGTAATAAATAGTAAGATATAATAAACTAAGTTCTGTTTAGTCTAATAAAGGATAATTAGATTTATAAGAATATAATATATATAGTATCTAACAGCTTAAAGAAAGAATATTAGCTAATATATTAAAATATAGTAGGCCTAATATTCTTTATTCTTAGTTATAGTCTGTTTAAAGACTATCTTATATATACTCTATCTTATATATATAATAATAATACTAAGCCCTCTATTTAATTATTTTATAAACTGTATTTAGCTAACTAGTAGTAAGAGACGTAATAGAATCTACTTTCTAGTACTATAGTAGTTCTAGTTCTATTATCTATAGATAAGACGTAGTTATTAATATATTAAGGTAATATTTTAGCTTAGCTAATTTACTTTACTATTAGTAATTTATTATATAAAGCTAGGAGGTTACGTAATATACTAGGTATATTACTAGCTAGCTTTTATCTATCTACTACTAAAACTAAAGATAATATAAAAAGTAGGTTATATTATTACTATATAGGTTAAGTTTTATAGTGTAAGTTAGTATAGTACTTAAATATTTTAAATAGTAGTTAATAGTCTTTTATAGTACTAAAGTAGTTAGTATTAGAAGGTATTATCTTAGAATATATAAATAGTTATACTAGATTCTGTTTCCTAGTATTATATATAATTCTAGCTAATTATAAGAAATAGGTTCTGCTTATAGGTATTAAAAAGAACTAACAGTGCACTTAATATACTATCCCCCTAGATAAAAGAGAGAATCTTTCTGCCTTTTATATATAGTAAGATTATCTTTAAATATAGTAATAATATAAAGCTTAGACCTATAGTAGGATTAATAAGTTAGATAATAGTTAAGTATATTCTATAGATAACTTTACTTAGAAATATAAATACTTTAATATCTATTAATTACTTCTAATAGATAACCTTTACTTACTTCTTAAGAGTCTTATTATATATACTATTAATTAGGTGTAGTTTATAGTTACTAAAATATATCTAGGTAAAAGGAAATTAAAGCACTCAATATAATCTTTACTAAAAGATAAAAACAGAGTTTTTTAGCTTAATACTAAATTCTAATAAGTTAGTTTTAGTATAGACCTAAAGCGCTTTAGTATAGGTACTAGATAGTTTAGTAAAGTAGTATAGTAGATAGGTAAAGAATAAAAGGTTATTATTAAGTAATTTATTATAGTTCTTACGTCTCTAATATTATAAAATATACTATATGTACTGTATTTTATATACGCTGTATATAACCTTATAACTCTTACTTAATACTAATACTATAATAATAATACACTTATATATATCTACTTATCTATAGAAAGATTAAATGTACTTAAAGAAGAATTCTAACTATACTAAGTAGAAAAGAATAAAGAACTTAGTTTATACTTTAATTATCTAAAGTAGTATATACTGTAGTATATTAAAAATAATATATAGTATTTTAGCGTATTAGACAGCCTCTGTACAGGTATAAATAGAGAGGCTTAATATATAGATTATATTAAGAGATTCTACAGCCTTATAAATAAATAGAATTTCCTAACCTAGATATATCTATATATTTTATAAAAGATTACAGTATAGGTAGTAGACTATATATTATAGTATAAGGGATTAAAACTAATTACTAGTATAAATAAGATAGAATAAACGTTTATATTAAGTCTTAGTAAAGTACTATATTTTAAGGATACTAACCTTACTATACTAAGTATATATCT